CTTTGCATCAGGTGGCCAAAGTCCTGGAGTTTCAGTTTCAGCATCAGACCTTCCAGTGAACATCCAGGACTGATCTCCTCTAGGATGGACCGGTTTGATCTCCTTGCAGTCCCAGGGACTCTCAAAAGTCTTCTCCAACACCACAATTCAAAAGCATCAATTTTTCGGTGCTCAGCTTTCTTCTCCATCCAACTCCCACATCCATACATGACCACTGGAAAAACCACAGCCTTGACTAGACAGACCTTTGTTGGCAAAGTAATGTCTCTGCTTTTTAATATGCTATCTAGGTTGGTCATAACTTTCCTTCCAAGGAGTAAGCATCTTTTAATTTCATGGCTGCAATCACCATCTGCAGTGATTTGGGGCCCCCCAAATTTAAGTCTGACACTGTTTCCACTGTTTCCCCACCTATTTCCCATGAAGTGATGGGACCAGATGCCATGATCTTAGTTTTCTGAATGTTGAGCTTTAAGCCAACTTTTTCACTCTCCTCTTTCACTTTCATCAAGAGGCTTTTTAGTTCCTCTTCACTCTCTGCCATAAGGGTGGTGTCATCTGCATATCTGAGGTTATTGATATTTCTCCCGGCAACCTTGATTCCAGCTTGTGCTTCTTCCAGCCCAGTGTTTCTCATGATGTACTCTGCATATAAGTTAAATAAGCAGGGTGACAACATACAGCCTTGACTTACTCCTTTTCCTATTTGAAACCAGTCTGTTGGTCCATGTCCAGTTCTAACTGTTGCTTCCTGACCTGCATATAGGTTTCTCAAGAGGCAGGTCAGGTGGTCTGGTATTCCCATCTCTTTCAGAATTTTCCACAGTTTATTGTGATCCACACAGTCAAAGGCTTTGGCATAGTCAATAAAGCAGAAATAGATGTTTTTCTGGAACTCTCTTGATTTTTTGATGATCCAGCAGATGCTGGCAATTTGATCTCTGGTTCCTCTGCCTTTTCTAAAACCAGCTTGAACATCTGGATGTTCACAGTTCACGTATTGCTGAAGCCTGGCTTGGAGAATTTTGAGCATTACTTTACTAGCGTGTGAGATGAGTGCAATTGTGCAGTAGTTTGAGCATTCTTTAGGATTGCCTTTCTTAGGGATTGGAATGAAAACTGACCTTTTCCAGTCCTGTGGCCACTGCTGAGTTTTCCAAATTTGCTGGCATATTGAGTGCAGCACTTTCACAGCATCATCTTTCAGGATTTGAAATAGCTCAACTGGAATTCCATCACCTCCACTAGCTTTGTTTGTAGTGATGCTTTCTAAGGCCCACCTGACTTCACATTCCAGGATGTCTGGCTCTAGGTGAGTGATCACACCATTGTGATTATCTGGGTCGTGAAGATCTTTTTTGTACAGTTCTTCTGTGTATTCTTGTCACCTCTTCTTAATATCTTTTGCTTCTGTTAGGTCCATACTATTTCTGTCCTTTATCGAACCCATCTTTGCATGAAATGTTCCCTTGGTATCTCTAATTTTCTTGAATGGATCGCTAGCCTTTCCCATTCTGTTGTTTTCCTCTATTTCTTTGCACTGCTTGCTGAGGAAGGCTTTCTTATCTCTCCTTGCTATTCTTTGGAACTCTGCATTCAGATGGATATATCTTTCCTTTTCTCCTTTGCTTTTCCCTTCTCTTCTTTTCACAACTACTTGTAAGGCCTCCTCAGACAACCATTTTGCGTTTTTGCATTTCTTTTCCATGGGGATGGTCTTGATCCCTATCTCCTGTACAATGTCACGAACCTCCGTCCATAGTTCATCAGGCTCTCTGTCTATCAAATCTAGTCCCTTAAATCTATTTCTCACTTCGACTGTATAGTCATAAGGGATTTGATTTAGGTCATACCTGAATGGTCTAGTGGTTTTCCCTACTTTCTTCAATTTAAGTCTGAATTTGGCACTAATCAGCCCATCTCAAAATGAGCTGCATCTGAGGCACTCATACATATGTAAACAGGGAAGTTTGCAGGGGGCTTAAACCTCAACCTGATCTTTTACACTGAGTGAAGGTATCCCTGGCCAGGTAGGAGGAAATGAAGTCTGTCTGGCAAGATGCGCTCGCCCTGGAGCCCCACACGAATGAAGGAGAACACTCTAGCTTCTCAAGTGCTTCTCACCCACTGTCCCTGAGTGAGCCTCCTGTGCGGGCCCCGGTAGCGAGTACCCAGGCTTCCAGTAGCCGTGAGTCAAACAGGGAGGAGAGCTGGAAGAGCTTACAGCGTGTCCCCATCTCCTTCCCCTCAAAGCAACACAGAGCTTTCTCAAGGTTCACAAGTTTCCAAGGTCACAGCCATCTCCGTGTGAATTAAAGCAGGGTTAGCTCAATCCTGGGGAATGAGCCACATGTTGCCTAGCCCGGGTCAGGGCCTCCATGCAGACTGAGAAAATGTGAGGTTTGCTGCTCAGGAGAGCTGGGATCCTTGCCTTTATGGAATTTGGATTATATACTAAATAGAATAACAGGGAAATGTGTCCTCCTTTTTGGTGTTATATAATTCAGCTAAGAAATAGGGAATATTTTCTGTTATTTAAAAAGCCCTCCCATATTTTCATCTAATGACATTCCTTTCCTCCAAAAGACAACCACATTCTCAGATTCCAGAACCATATTCTCAATTCCTCAGATGGAACCAAACCTTCAGATGGGCTTGCTGTTTTCCACAGTTCATAAAAACAAAGCCTTTTGGTTGCTTGCATTTTAATTTTCTCCAAGACCTAAAAAATTCTGATTAACCCATAAGAATGAATATAGTCTTTAGTATGGAGTCCTCAAATCCTCACACTTTTTTTTTTGACTCAAACTATTACCATGTAAAAAAGAAATTCAGTCTTTTAAAAGTATATTATGAAATATTTCAGATATAAGAAAAATTATGAATAATATAACAAGCACTTCTGAGTTTACTGTTCAGTGTAAGAAATAAAACATGACCCATACAGTTGAAGCCTGTGCCCCACTCCATTTCCAAATAACTACTATCCTGAATTAGATATCATTTCTTATTATTTTACTATAGTTTTATTTTACATTCAAATATGCACACACATATTACATGCATTCATCTGCAATTTGCTTTTGCCTCTCTCTAGTCATGAGATTCATCTGTGTGGATACATACATTAAAAATTGTATCATCTATAGACAATATAAATACATCACAATTTACTTATCCACTACTAAATATTCCCAAATCATTCTACAAAATATTCCCAAATTGGTTGTACCAATTTTAGTACCCACTGTCAATATATAAGAGAGTTCTTGTTGCCTCATATTTTGACGAAGCTTGGTGTTATCATCGGACTGTAATTTTTGCAATTTGTTAGGTGAAAGGGTAATCTCACTGAAGTTTTTGTTTGCATTACTGGTTAGTAGTGAGCTTAGGTGTGTTTATTAGCCAGTCTGTTTTCAACTTCTTTGAATAATCTGTTTCTATCTTTTGATCAGTTTGCTTTTAGTAGCTTTTTTTCTCATTACCTTATAAGAGTTCATTATGTATTCTGAATGTTAATCCTTGTTCAGTTTTGTGCAATATTTTCCCTCAGTCTGGTTTGTCTGTACCTTGCCTAGGGTACATTTTGGAACACAGATGTTTTGAATTTTAATATAGTTAAATTTCATCAGCTTTTTACTTTTGGTGTGTCTGGATCTTGTCTAAGAAATATGTCCCTACCTCAAGATCATAAAAAGATATCCTTCAAAATTTTCATCTGTTAGTTCCCAAAAGTATCTGGAGTTAACTTTTGTGTTTGATATGGGGTAGGGATCCATTTCCTTCAATTTGGAAAACCCACTGCTTTCATAGTTCCATTTACTAACTAGTTCAGCTCTTCCTTACAGACTCTTTAGGGCCACTTCTGTTGTCTATGAGGTGTTAGCTTCTACCATGTTCTGTTGATTTATCTGGATGAAAACCACACTGTATTAATTACTATAGTTTTTTAAAAGGTCTTGACATTCAGCAAAGCAAGTCCCTCCATGTCATTCTTCAATATTAGTTTGACCATTTGGGGCACAACTCTCATCTCTGTTGAACAGGACAGTAGGGAGAAATCAAGACAAGCCACTCCTGGATAATATACAGCTGAATATTTAACTCCCAAACAAATCAGCTTCTAAGAAATTGTTGTGTATAATGAATATAGAAAGCCCATATAAAGCATTTGTTTACAAAAAAGCAAAAACATTTTAAAAGCTTTTTTGAGCTGTAGCAAGGGTCATTTAAAATTAGAAACCCTTCCTCTGGGCAATAGCAATGTTCTTGCCTATATTTTCTAAAAATACAAATTTAAACATAGTTTTGCATGCAGATAGTCACAGTAGGGCCTCCCTGGTATCTCAGCTGGTAAAGAATCCACCTGCAACACAGGAGACCCTGGTTCGATTCCTAGGTCAGGAAGATCCCCTGGAGAAGGGGTAGGCTACCGACTCCAGTATTCTTGGGCTTCCCTGGTGGCTCAGACGGTAAAGAATCCACCTGCAATGCAGGAGACCTGGGTTCGATCCCTGGGTAGTGAAGATCCCCTGGAGGAGGGCATGGCAACCCACTCCAGTACTCTTGCCTGGAAAATCCCCATGGACAGAGAAGCCTGGCGGGCTACAGTCCATGGGGTCGCAGAGTCGGACATGACTTTGGGACTACACACAGCACAGAACAGTCACAGTGAGTTCAATGAAACTGCTAAAGCTGTGCACACGTTGCCTAGATCCCTCAGAGAATCCCCCCCGCGCCCCACAATTTTGTTATTGGAGTGTAGTTACTTTACAATGTTGTGTTAGTTTCTGCTATACAACAAAGTGAACCAATTACACAGAATATCTACTCTGAAGGTTAGACTGTTCCTGGGAGAAACCTTGAGAATGCACTAATTCTTTCATAGCAGGGGTGTGTGAATGAGCTATTCTTTCTCTCATTCAAGGGAGACTTGATTTTCCCAAAAAATGCTCTGTGACATTTTCATAACCTCAGGATTACTACTTGGTGTTCTGCAGTGTCTTCAGATCCAGACCCTCTTATACGGATTCCAGGACAAGAGGACTCTGGCCACCCAGCAGACCATGGACATCCTGTCCAAGTGAGTCGACCTCTCCCGACACTGTTTACTTTGCCGTCAGAATCTCAGAGGAAGCTGGTTCTGTAAGGTTCAGTGGAACTTTCCGTGGAAAGGACAGTCTACTGACTGTCTTCCATTACTCATTAACTATGCAAGCCCAGTTCCTCTGAACACTCAATTGTAAAATATCTTCTTGTCCGATATCAGGAAGAAATCAGCTCTTGGAGAAAGTCAGAAGCACAGGCTAGGGTTCATCCTCCTGCAGACCGGCTGCCTGCTGGTCATGTCAACTGCTGGAGGACTAGGGCACACTGTCCTACGCGGCCTGCAGGCGCTCTGATCTCACCCGGGCGCCGGCCTTCCCGCGCAGGGCCTGGTCCACAGGCTCCAGGACGCGCCGCGGGCGGGGTCGGCCGGCAGGGGGCGCCGTCCCAGGCCCCTCCGCTCAGGCCCCGCCTGCAGGGCCGGGCCCCTTGAGTCGCTGAGGGTCCACTGTCCGCTTGGTGAGCACGGCCGCGGGAATCAGAAACGGGAGGAGAAACGCTGGGCTTTCCGCTTCTGCAGAGCCCCCTCTCCTTTGCCTGCCCTCCCGAGGCTCCCTCGTGAAGCGCAGCTCAGCAAGCGCCAGGCTGGTCTTCACTGCCGCCGAGTCCGGCGCCAGGCCAGGCGCGCGGAGGCCGGGGCTGCCGCGCTGACTCCTCTGCTTGTCCGCAGGGCCCCCGAGGTGCCCGCGAGGCCGCGGCCGTCCCCCGGAGCCAAGGCGGCCTTCTGCGCCGGCGGGCGGCCGCACAGCGTGCCCGGGCGCGCCAGGCCCAGTGCTAACGACTGAGCGGGCCCCACCGCCTCCCGGGGTGCGCCCCCGGGTGCCCCGCACATCTTTCCCTCTGGAACGGGGGGCCTTCGACAGCCGCTGCTCCGGTTTCCAGGCCGACTGTGTGCTCCGAATGCAAAGCCACCCCACACCTCCCGTGGGCCCTGTGTGGACAGTGGGCGCCCCTCCTGGTGACCTTCCCTTCTATAAAGAATTTTTCTTTCTGCTACCTTAGTGGTTTCTTCTGGCCGACCAGAGTTCTTACCCATCAGCACTGCTGCGGTTGCAGGCTTCGCTCCTTCACCATCTGATCGTGTATGTGTATTTGGTGTAGGGCCCCTTGTGCAGGCTCTGGAGTCAGATTTGGAGCAGGAAGATTGTGGGCAAAGAGCTCTTTCTTATAGGAAGGTAATAGGGATTGAAAAGAAAATGCTAATAAAAGGAAACCTGGCAGTGTTGACATCAGTATGCGTTTGTGAAATGAAGCCGCCCCAGAGGTCCTGGGAGCCTAGAAAGGGCCCTGAGGAAGCGTCTCCTCCCTGGTGCACGCCACCACTCACTGAATTTGGCAGGGCACCAGGCGGGTGCTAAGAACCGAGGGCACGATAAATGGGACACTGTCCCCGTCCTCTCAGAGCGTGCCACCCAACAGGGCCACGAATCACTGACACACATCACGGTGCAGCTGGTTGAGGGACAGCAGAGGGAAAGAGCCTGGCACAGTGGGTGGGTGATAAATGGCCCTGAATGTGCTTACAGGTCGGGGGAGGTGGTGTAAAAGAGCTGGGCAGGACAAGGGCAGGCAGATGCCCAGCTGCTGCTTCCTGCGGCCTCCACTCCAGCCAGGGGGACATGGCTGTGGCTCTGGAGCGCTACTTGGAGTTGGCACGGCCCTTGGCCCCTACTCTCCTGACCCTGTTTTGGGTTTAGCATGCAGGGGTGTGGAGGGTGGGGCTCGATGAGCGCTCAGGTCCACGGTTGTCTTCAGTCCCCTGGCAGGAGGCTGGCGTCAGTTGAGAACAGGAGTGGCTCGTTTTGAGCACCTTTCCCCAGGTGAGATCCAGAGCTGGGACCAGGTTGAGCATGCAGAGGGTGGCAGTGGGCTTTTATCCTTTCTCACAGGCCCTTTGCAGCCCCTCTCATCCCTTGGGCTGTGGCCCAGCAGGGCTGCAGGCAGGCACTGAGATGGCAACAGGTTGCAACACGGCCCCCTCTCACTTTAACACCCAGGAGGAAACGCAAAACCAGTCTGGCTCCATGTGTGCTGGGCACCACACTGAGAATGGGTACGGGAAATGAACCCAAGTTCTGGGACAGCGTGGAGGGAGGTGGGGCCCCCGTCCTTGGCAGCACAGGCCACCCCTGCTTGTACTCACCCATCCCAGGCAGGCTTGTGGGATGAAGGCCACATCCAAAGGTGGGAGATGTGGTCACCAGTGTCCTATTTGGTGAAGACATGGACTTTGATGCATATGATGGGAAAGCATTTTAAATACATACCACACTGCAGTCAGCCTCAAAAATGTTTGTGCAACTCAAAAATTGCTTTGTTGAGGCCCTCACCACCACTGTGAAAGTTTTTAAAGTAGGGTCTCTGGGAAGTAATACATGAAGGTCAAGCCCCCAGAATGGGCTTAGTGCCCTTATAAAGAGAGACAAGAGAAACGATCTTTCTACCCTGTGAGGTCACAGCAAGAAGGCAGCCGTGTGCAAACCAGAAGACGACACCCACCAGGAACGGACTCCACCAGCACTGTGACCTGGGGCTCCCACTCACCGGAACTGCGGGGAGTAAGTGTCTACTGTTTTAAGTCTCCCAGCCTGTGGTGTTCTGTCCTGTTATGGTATTCTATTACGCAGCCTGAGCAGACTGAAAGCGTATGCTGGGTTTTTGGAAAAACAAAATGCCAATTCTGATGTTATTTATTCCTCTATTTCTCATAGGATAATATCTTGGAATCACAAGAACTAAAACACTTTTTAAATTTAGCCCCCCACTCTGGGGAAAAAATGAATTTGGGAATATTCTCTATCAAATGTCTCCCATCTATTAAGTGTGTTAACTTCAGAACAAAAGGAAGACTCTAGCTATGTATGTTTTGGTTTGTAAGGCTACAAATAGGTAAGCATATCTACTCCTTTGTCTCAAACTAGAGCAATTTTTTCAAGCTCCTAAGAAATGGCCATGATTAACCACTCCAATTTGCACTTAAGGTTAATAATGAACCACCTTGGTGTGCTCAGCATTGTTTTCATTTTAGCACTGAAAGTTCCATGTCCCAGGAGAGACCCCTCATTCAAGGCCAAATGGGATGGTTGGTCACACTGTTGTCACTAGCATTGCAGGCTGTCATGATGACATTCTTACCACAAACGGTCTAGTCTGTATTTTAATATGAACCAGTGGTTTATGCTCTATCTGCCACGCCTTCTCGCTCTGTGCTAACAATATCGAGTTCTGATTCAAGTGAGTAATTAAATGAGCCTTTTCATATATATATTCTCCCCAGTGATTCTGTGCCACCATAAAAACATGCACATAAACACATATATCCTTTAATTATAACTTAAATAAAAACCACAAAACACCTACTGGAAAACATTCATTCTCTTCAGGAACAACATGGGGGTTTTTTCTTAGACTTTTATTTTTACACATTCTTATGATATATCCCTTCAAAGGGAACAGGAGGTTAGCAAGATCAGCTTTTTAGATGATTCCATTCTAAATATACATTTTAAACAAACAATATCAAAACAACCAGTGGGGAGGTGAAAAACATTCCATTAACACCATTTTGTCTACACAACAATAAATGCAAAAGGACTGGCTGTGTCCTCACCCTGTCTCGCCATAAAGCTGACTACTACTGTCTCTGGTTTTAAAGGACATGGAACCAGGGGTGACCTGTCACGGGGTCAAGGGCACGCCCTGCTCTGGTCTGTTTCAGAGACTTAGTAACCAACCACAGCTCATGACTCCATATTGGCAAACACTCTTGGCAGGATACTTGAAGATGTGCACCAACATGGAGACACAAATTAAGACCTAAGACACTTATTTTCCAATGGAGGTGGGTCAGGACATTAATAATCTATTCACCTTAGCACTCATTCCTGGGGTCACAAGCTAGGAGAGTGACACTGAGCTCAGCCCACACTTAAGACACACAAAACAGACACCCCCCATCATCAGTCTGTCTTACCATCAGACAACAGACTGTCACCTTGACCAATTCTCACCAATAAATAACCTATACAAATACCATTACCAATTACAATCAACATAAAATCAACTCATCTTTATGTTAGAAATGAGGAGTCTTTGGTGGAAAAGCCGTCACCTCCCCTGGCAGTTTCTGACAATCACCAGTTTATCTGGCAGACAACAAAAGTTTACACTTGCAATTCAAATCAAACTTCCTTCTATGCCCTGCTTCATGGTGTTTTAAAAATAGATCATCCTGAAAGCTGTACTGCGATGTTCCTCCACTTCCCGATTAGGAAAACACACTCTCTCTAAACTACCTGCTGTAGCCATTCCTGGCAGCTGAGATGTGTGTTGTGGAGGTGTGAGGGCCATCTTGTGAACCCAGAGGGAAGACCCTCAACTTCCATAGCTGCCCCTGTAACCACGTCCCACCTGAGGATGACAAAGCGGGGACCATCATTCCTCAGTGCACTACAGGCAGTTAGGTCTGTGCTACTGTGTTAGGGGGAGGTACAGTTTAGACAACATTAAGTGAAAGAAACTAGTTTGGATTAAAATAATATTGTGCTGCTAGAGATACTCTTTTTATGTGATGCTACAGCTTTAAAGGAACAAGCTTTAAAAACAATACCTTTGTGCAAAACACACCCGACAGAGCACACCCATTCTAGTATCTTCAATTCAGTGGTGTATATCTGCAGGGCTATACTCGTGGCCTGGGAGAGTAGGGCCTTTGCTTCCTCCAGGGCCCCTCCTGGGTGCTTCTGGGCTAGGCAGTAACAGAAGCATCCAGCCCCTTCCCCAAAACATCTAATTCTGTTTAATGTATTGTTTGTTTCCCTGGATAAAACACCCCAACTGTCATGATTTCTGTCTAAAGTGCAAAAGCCTCCATGAGGTTGGTTGCCGTCTTCCATCTCGAACCCTTTGTGCTCAGAAAGGCCTCCACCCCCATCATCAGTGGGTTAGGAGGGGCTTCTCTGGGAGGCACAACCCACCTGGGCTTCCAACCATACTGTGCATGACCGCCCCACAAGTCTGAGCTTCGGCGTCCTTTCTACTGTCTTTAGGGTCTACCTCCCACCAGTAAAATTAAATGTTTAGATCCTAAGAGCTAAGGTGCAGAAAAGCTCAAGTACACTCTGGTAGGAGCTGGCTACTCCAGAATTTGTTAAAACCAAAAAGAGTATTTAGACTGTGCGCTACTTAATGACCTAGTACCACGAAAAGCTGGTATTATAAGCCATTCCCAGTAATCCTTCCCCAACCCCCTGCCCCCACCTGGACCCAGTGCAGGGTTCCAGGAGGCTGTGCAAATGTAGCAAGTGTGCTGATCTGATACACTGCAGGAGGCTGGAGCTGTCTTCTCCATAAATAAAATACTATATTTTTTAAAAGTTCTGCACATAGAAGGCAATTCATTCAAATCTTAAAATGAATTTAACTCTCTAAGATGAATAACTTTTTCCTAAGAAGAAATCATTTAATTTTTTTAATCTGCTTATTTCCTATGATTTCTTTTTGAAAAGATCTTGTAAACAGACAAATGAATTCATTCTTCCCTTAAAATGTTAGTTTACTATTTCATGTTAGCACATGTGAATAAAATTTACTCTTAAATGTATTACTTTAATCCCATTACCATTTAGGTGTCTTACCTAGGCAATTATACTTTCAAACAGATGCCAGGCACTTCCGTGACTATGTGCAAAAATGGGAGAAATCATCTCTAGGAGTGGAAAGAAAACTCCAGAAAAAGGAACTTTTAAGACGAAAAAGATAAAAAGTATTTCTTGTCAAAGTCCCAACTCAATAAAATTCCAATGCCTTTTAAGGCATGAATTAGTTTGAAATCTTTACAGATTATAAAGTAAAAAGACACTGCCTAGAGTACTCGAAGTAAAAAAAAAAGGGGGGAGGTTTTAATAAAGAGTTCACCTCCCTCCCTTAAAGTAAAGGCCTTTGTGTGTTGGTACGTTACCAAACAAGATGGCATTTAAAATCAAATATCTGTTTATCAAAACCAGTGTCCCTCATTTTCCTCCTCCTGACTGTCTAGATAGAGGAGGGCAACCTTCTTTTCGTCCGAAATCACTGACCTCTGGTCTACCATCCTCTGCAGCTGCACCGTCTTATCAAATTCAGCCTGCTCCTTGCCCCTTTCCCCAGGAGCCTGGTGTCTGTCCCCAGCAGAGCCCTGAAAGCTCACGCTGGCAGCCAGGTCATTCCTACTGCTGGCATCTCTCCAAGCACCATGCTCAGACACACTAGGAGGTTCTGCTTCCGTCCCTGCAGGGAAGAGGACTGTGGCCTCTTGTGTCCAGCGGGGAGTCGCCTCTATGTTACTCACGTCCATCTGAAAGGTAAACGAAGTTTCTTTGGGCCCCAGGGCAACGTGCCTTAGTGTTCTGCCACCTTCTGCAACCTCGCCTACCTCAGGGGAGTCTACCGAACCAGCAAGTGGAAACGTTTTGGAAATGGGTCCGTGGAAGACAATGTGTTCAGAGGTCTTGGCTTCCGCAGGACCCAGCTGAATATGCCTAAAGGATCTGCTCACGCCTGATATCACTTCTGCCCCTGACATGTCTCCTGCACTAGCTTCCTGGGGAGACTCAGAAACGGCCCTTTGGAAGGTGCTCTTTTCAGTCATCAAGATGTTCCGACCCACAGTATAACTACGGGTGGCCAGGGTCTCGTCGGCTGAGCCCTCTCTGTGGGTGCTGCTTTCTGAGTCGCTAAATTCCAAGGGCGGGGGAACGATAGGCTCGGTGGTTTGATGCATCTGAGGCCCAATGGTGACATGCCTGATGGACGAGCCGGCCCCTGACCACGCTTCCATGTGCACAGAAGCTTCCCTGACGCCCAGCTCCACTGTGCCTGAGAGGGGGGCTGTGAGCTGGGTCCGCTCACTGAGCCCCTCCTGGGCACCTAATCGGAGGTGCTTTATGGAAGTCTGGGTGCCCGCTGACCCTTCTGCTTGAGAAGAATCACCCGCCTTCCCCACCCCAGAAACGGGGGCCTGAAAAATAACTTCCCTCTGAGCATAAAACTGTTGGGAGCCAAATGGGCTGTGCCTCCCAGATCTGGGAGGCTCTGCGGGGCCAGGCTCCTCTGTGCCCCCGGCCTCTGGACAGGCGGCATCAGGCGCTGGGAAGACGACTTCTGGGGACACTGGGCTCTGACGGGGACCCAACATAAAGAGCCTGGCAGACTGGCTGGCTCCCGCCGAGCTGGCTGCCCAACTCGCCTCACCCTCCCCACTTACCTCCACCGCCTGGGCCGCGCGGCCCTCGGCCGAGACCTGCTCAGTCCTCCACGTTCCAGGGGACGCTATCCGGACGCGCCCCCCAGACTGGCTGACGTCCTCCAGCATGTGAGTGTGGACAAAGCCCGTGGGGCTGGTGACTTCCACGGTGGCCGACACGGGGCCCGGGGGCGAGGCCAGGCCCGCATCTGCCTCCCCCGCGGAGGCGCTGTACAGCTCCCGGGTGGCCCAGCGCCTGAAGCCGTGGCCAGCCTCCACCTCCGGGCTGCCCGGGCCCGGGCTGCGCCGTCGCGCCAGGCTGTCTCGCACCACCGACTCCACGGCCTTCTCAATCTCCCCCGCTTCGTCCCGGCTCAGCTCCTCCAGGTCTAACTGGTCGGCGTCCACCGTCTGCGAGAGGTTGACTTCGGCCACTAGGGTCACGGCCCCGCTGTCCACACTCTGGACTTTCTTCACGTCAAAGGAAACACCCGCAGGCCCGCCCTGGCCCTCTCTGGTGAGGGCGGACAGCTCTTCCTTCATGCGCTCTGGAAGGTTCTCCTCCAGCTGCTCGATCACCTCCACCAGCTGGTGCCTGGGCTCCTTGGAGCCTTCCTTAATGGATGTGTGGAACTCATGGGGTATTTTGATTTCCTTCTCAATGACTATGGGCTTGGCATGAAACTCGCCACTTCTAGTTTGTTCTTTCCAGGGAGCAGATGCCGTGTCCCCCTCCAGAGACGCTTCTGGAACATCCTCCGGCTTCACAACCTTCTCTCCTGGGACGTCGTCCCTCTGCATTCTTCTCCGAGACCCTGGCACGATCTCATCCTGCCAGGAGTATCTGATGGTGGATTCCTCTTCAATGTGGATCTGCCCATACACAGAGCCTTCTTCTCGCTCGTGGGCCCCAGGGTGTTCGTCCGGAGTCGACACAAAGTAACTCTGCTCTCCCTCCAAGTCACCTGCCTCCGTCACTTCTTCCACGTGAGTTACACTCTCCTGGGGCCGCCTGGCCTCCTGACCTGCGTTCCCTGAGCACGTGACACCTGATTCCCTGTAAACCGCCTCCTCTCTCTCCTCAACAAGCCCCCTGGAGCCCGGAGACACGTCGTCGACCTCCTCCACTTCGAACGGGGTAGAAAACTCATCTGCCTTCTCGCTGCTGACATAGCTCATGGGCTCTTCAATGATCTCCACGTTGACGACTTTTGCTCGCCCTTCTCTCCCCTTCAGACCGAGACGGATCACGTCTCCGATCAAACGCTCCGCCGATTTTCCTTTCAGCTCCACCTCTTTAGCATCCTTGCTTAACAGGTAGTCCAAGCCGGCTTCATCCGAAATGTCGATCTCTTCAGTCAGTTTCGACTCCACGACTATCTCAGTCTTTGCTTTTCTGTCACCAGGAACTTCTTTCCTGTCCACATAAGTGACTTTTGTGTCTGGAAAAGACTCAGCGGACGCTTCTGCCTCGGGAGAGTGGGTAAACTGCTTCAGGATACTGGAAACGATATTCTCAGCTATGGTTTCAGTCATGGAACCACCTTTCAGAGAGGCTGTGGTGTCGCTGGCGCCCAGCGAGAACGCTGCCTCTCTGGTTTCCACCCCTCTCCCTGTCCCGTCACCAGCATCCTTCTTTAGGGGTGTCTGGAGACCCTGGGGGGCCACCTTTGCTGTGCTGTCCTGGGACACCTCTAGCCTGATCGGTATCTCTCTCCCCTTCACACTTGCCTCCTTCAGCGACTCCTTCTCTCTAGCCTTTTCCCTCATCTGCTCGCTTTCTCTCTTTCTTGCTTCTTTATCTAACTTTGTCAGTTCTTCCCACCTTAAGTTTCTCTCCTCTGAAGCCTTCTCTTTGGAATCGAACATTTTCTCTTCTCGCTTTGTTTGAATGGTTTCTGGTCTGTTTCTCTCCTGCTCCTTTGTGGCTTTAGCTTCCGTTTTCTTTCCCAAAATGACGGTCCTCTCATTTGACCACGTGCCCTCAGAAGTGGCTGCCGCCATCTTGTCCCTGCGTTCTCGGTAGGACTCTGGGGCAGCGGCGGACTCTTTGGCTGAACTAGTGGGTGGAGCCTTTGTTCCTTCAGTTCTTGGCCTCTCAGGGAATGTTTTCGCTTGAGCTTCAGTATTTCTTAAAAGACCGGGGGTTGGAGAGAACGCTCTGAAGTTGGTCTGACCGCTGGCAGTTTTCTCATAAGCATTCTCCTGCCAGGCAGTGGTGAAGGAAGAGTATCCGGAACGCAGGATGTCTCTTCTGGCATCGCTTCCAACGGGTGTCTGAGAACGTGGCACCAGGCTCTGCCGGAAGCTCGCAGGAGGTGCTTTTTGCCTTGGAAACAGATTTCTCTCATTTTCTTTCTGTAATACTGAGGTGGTATATTGATAGGACTTGTCTCTGAATTCTGTAGAAATTGAACAGTACATTAAAATGATAGTCATCATTACCTTTTTTCATCTTAAAAGCATCACCACAGATCAGATCTTATCCCGTCATAATATATACCATTACCACAGAAGGGTCATTATAAATGAGTTATGTTCAGTTCCCAAATTACTTTTTCCGGTAGTTTAAAGAATCCCATGACAATAAAATACAGCTCTACAAATGCTTCCACACAACACTTTTCTCCCATTACTGATCTTAAAATATTCATCCATCTTAAACATATCAAACGTGATCATAAAGCATAGCACCTTGTGCCAGTGAGGTTAGGGGTATATTTATGTGGCAGAAATTTCACAGTTTGGAATCCTTCATTTCCACTTTGTTGAGGTAACTTTATTTTACTGAAGAGCAGAGAAGAGCTTCATAATCACCAAAGATAGAGTATATAACTATTAAACATTGAATGGTATTACCCCACCACCTTTAACTATGCTCTTTTTTTTTCTTCTTCACTGATTTCCATGTTGGGTCAACAAACACTGACGAATTTAACTTTTTTTTTAAACTTCCTGATTTCAACTTTTATACTTTTTTTCCTTTTTCAAACATCTCATTTGAAAAGGTGCCAAAGTAGAAAGTCAGCCAGTTGCCACTACTACAATCTGTCTTAATGTCATGGTCGTAGGATTGGAAGGCTGTCTGTGGGGCTTCCTGCTTTGCTCTGGCCCATCCACAGAGATGCTACCCTTGGGGATGGCCACACACCCCAGGGTAACTGCTCTTACGAGTGGCCGCTGGTGGTAGGAATGTAGCCTGGCCAGCAGGACCATCTACCCTGGGGGTACCCCCTCATGCCTACCCACACCCATCTGCTGATATGCATAGAGCCTTCTCACCCTCTGGGTCTCCCCCACTGCAGCCAACCAGCTTCCTCTCAAATTCAACAACAAACTTGCTGGACATTGTCTAAGACCAAATTCCATCCAATCACAGATGACTGGAACCAAAATTATTCTGAACCCAGTGACCTGTCAACCTGTGAAGTATCTAACCTGGGATGTTGCTTTTGAAAAATAAAGATGGAGGGTGCTGTTTTTTTTTTTTTTTTTAATCTACCACCTATACAGATTGGCTGTTATAATCAAACACTCTCCTGATAGTGGTAACCAATACATACATGTATGCCTAACACACCATGATTCTGAATATGACAACACTCACAGAGCTGAACTACCGAGTAGGGTGTACAACCAACACATTGTACCTAATGGAATCTGCCCTTGCTTAAGAAAGCAAGCTCTTAAAGGTTGTACAAGTCCAGGAAAGTTTTCTTTTTCTCAGTTATCCTACAGGTTCTCTGGGTCTTTCTAATGAACACTAACTCTCTAACAGTTGGTTCTGCAGCCACAGGAAGTTTGGACTTTGTGCTGCAGCTTTTGGCCTGGATAGAGGTCAACCTCAGGGCACTAGCTGACACTGCTGCTCACATCGCCCTGAGCTGCCCACGCAGACACAGGCTGGTGGAAACGGTATAATCCTTTTACCTCTGCTCGAGACTTCCAATGCTGAGCCTGCTAGACAAAGTAATACCTCCCTGAGCTTGTGTGAAGGCTGTACATCTTTGCTCTGTAAACGGTGTTCCTGCCAAAGCGTGTGATGAACAAATCCATGTCCACCTTCTCACCGGCTCTCCATCAGCCCTCTCCTCCCTCACCACGCTGAGTAGGTTGAACCCTCAAAACACTAGCTAGATGAACAAATGAGTTAATGAAGCCCTTTCCTATACAATCTCATTTGCATTATTATTGAAACTGTGTGTATGCATGTGTATACATGTGGATGTATGTATGCCTGTGCACGTACACGCACTTAATCAGTCAGTCATGTCTGACTCTTTGTGACCGTTTGGACTGTAGCCCACCAGGCTCCTCTGTCCATGAGATTTCCCAGGCAAGAATACTGGAGTGGGTTGCCATTTCCTTCTCCAGGGGATCTCCCCAACCCAAGGATCAAATCCATGCCTCCTGTGTCTCCTAGATTACAGGCAGATTCTTTACCCTGAGCCATTGAAACTAAAGTAAATTCTATTTGGTGCTTGAGAAGTACAAAATGAGAGTTTTCTGAAAACTCTTATCTAACCCCAACTCTTCCAGATAAATGACACTTTACTTTTTATCAATAGAATGAACCTGCGCAGATGGACAGCATCTTAACGTTAAATGATAAGCTTCCCTTATATTTACCTTGTGGCACGTTTTCAATGCACTCAGTAACGATCAATATCTCTGGATTACTTTCTCCTTCCAGTAAGGCTCTGTAAAAATTATTTTTAAAAAGCTCATTAGGAAACAAAAGATGAGAAGTGCCTCTTCAAAGCTGTCGATGACACATTGGCACAGGGTCATGGGTCTGCAGACGACGCAGGGCGTGCCAGACCTGGCTCGAGAGCACACCGATCAGCCAAACGAACGAGGGGGATGGGCCTCGAGAAGGACTGGAGAGCTAAGGCCTTCTAGAAAGCCCTTCCAAACCCAGGGAGAGGAGGAGGAGATGAGGGATGTGGACCCAGGAGGGTAGGCCGGGGACCTGGCTTCCCTGGGAAGCGGTGAGGGGCCCATGCCTGGCAGGCCACTCGGGGCCACAGAGCCCCAGGACAGCTACTACTACCCCACCAGGGTCTCCCTGGAGTCACAGGTCAGGGGTTAACTAGGGGCAGAGGAAGGGCTGACACTTGTCTGTAAATAAGGCAATCAGACTGCATGTGCACTTTTCAAATTGGGTTCTATGGGGACATCTTAGAGATGAAAACAACAGAGGAGAGATGGAAGGGGCAGGCAGAAGAAGAGAAAGAAGAGCTTCAGACGCCCCGCCCCCTCCACCACCACCACAGCCCCCAGGGGCCTCATTTCCAGGCGGCATCCAGTTACCTCCTCTGATAAAAACAGCAAAATGCACTAGACTAGGGGGTTTCTTTGGCCATGTCTATCTCCAAAAGTGTAAAACCATAGAGTCTTCACTGTTATCCACGTCTAGGACTCGAAGCCCTGAAGAAAGAGCAGACGCAGGCCCCACCGGCTCTGCGCCCCACAGTGGGTCAGCCAGACCCAGGGCCCTGAGACCCTAGGATGCGGGCTACTGTGGGCACAACAGTTGCTCGGTTGCCAAAGCAACGTGTGAGGTCACAAATGTCAGTTCCAAGAAATACACTGCATAGGGCAAAGGGCAAGCAGAAGTGGATCCCACTTGGAAATGCTGACTGACCGTGGAGAGCCGGGCAGCCAAACGGGAGGGACGCCAGCGGGGACTCTGCGGTCAGGCAGAGCAGTGCCAGGTCCTGTTTCCACGGACTCAAAGGCGGTGATTCCCACACATGCGAGAGCCCCGTGGGTGGCTGGAAGAGGGCAGGAGGCCCCCACCCCGCAGCCCAGGGAGAAGCAGAGACGAGGGCGAGGGGTTCCAGCCCAGCTGCGCGGGCGGGTTCGCCGGCCGCCCCGGGGCCGTGCCCAGAGCCCCGCGCCACACCCAGGGGCCAGGAAACCGGACACAGGCCCGCTAATCCCACACCCTCCTGACCTGGCGTGTTGGGTTCCCCGACCACAAATAGAAAATGCTGAGGTCCCTATAGGATAAAAAGGCACACGTTGACGGCAAAGTCAGCCTGGGGGGGGGGGGGAACGGGTGCACCCGGAATGGCACCGACAGGAAAAGCAGCGTCCTATAGCCAAGGGGCCAGGGGGTGCCAAGAAGCCAAGTCCTATTTCAACTCTTCCCTCCACTTGCTCGGGAGGAAGCCTCGGGTACCACAGGGTGCTCCCGCTGGCTGCCCACGGCAGGCAGAAAGGGCCTGCAGGGTGTCCCGGCCAGCAGAGAACAGATGACAGGTGGGCGGGGTGTTCAGGATAATGATGCCCCCGCGGTAAAAACACCTTCCTTCTCCCCTCATAGGGCCATGGCTTTGTTCCTCTTTGAGGGAAAATCCAAATCATCACCAGACTTCTAGAGTGCAGGACCCTAAGTTGGGTACTGCGGTTCCTAGGAGGGGCACCAGAACTCGAGGGTGACAGAGCCGTAACATTCCCGCCCCCAAGGCCTTTGCCAGCTTTGAGACGGGGCACCCTAAGCAGGCTCCGACCCTGCCGTCTGTCTCACCAAGCCCTGGCAATCCCACGCTGGGCCGATGGCGTGTGTGTGGCGCACAGGGAGCAGAGCGGCAGAGACGGGGGCCAGGCCGCCTGGGCCTCCCTGCGGGCGCAGAGATGGCGCCATCTCACACACGTGGTACATCTAACCCCACAGACAGAGCCTCCAGACCACACTAATGAAGTACAGAAGTCGCTTGTGATTTCAGTCCCAATGCCCCTACAGGGGTGGACACTCCCTGAGGACTCGGGCCCGCGGCGACGCCCCTCCCGACGGCTGGCCCGACCTGCGGGCGGCACCTTCTCCCCGCAGCCGCCCAGCATGGGCCTCACAGGCGGGGCCGCTGGTGCTAAACCCACGCCTCCGTGAAGCCCCCCCCCCACACGCGCCGCCCCGCCTCCATGAAGCACCCCCAGACACGCGGTGCCCCGCCTCCGTGAAGCCCCCCAGACACGCGGTGCCCCGCCTCCGTGAAGCCCCCCAGACACGCGGCACCCCGCCTCCGTGAAGCCCCCCAGACACGCCCCGCCCCGCCTCCGTGAAGCCCCCAGACACGCCCCGCCCCACCTCCGTGAAGCACCCCCAGACACGCGATGCCCCGCCTCCGTGAAGCACCCCCAGACACGCGATGCCCCGCCTCCGTGAAGCACCCCCAGACACGCCCCGCCCCGCCTCCGTGAAGTACCCCCAGACACGCGATGCCCCGCCTCCGTGAAGTACCCCCAGACACGCGATGCCCCGCCTCCGTGAAGCCCCCCAGACACGCCCCGCCCCGCCTCCGTGAAGCCCCCCAGACACGCCCCGCCCCGCCTCCGTGAGGCACCCCCAGACACGCGATGCCCCGCCTCCGTGAAGCCCCCCACACACGCGGCGCCCCGCCTCCGTGAAGCCCCAACCCCCCTTCCACACGCCCGGCCCCGCCTCCGTAAAGCCCCGCAGACAATTGGCGCCCCGTCTCCAGGGCTGCCCACAGGACTATGGCAGAGGCAGAACCAAAACTGCGGGGCGAGGCCACAAAGGGTGGCCCCCTCAAAAGCTTTCAAAGGAGCGGTTTTTAAGGAATAGATGCGTACAGCTTTAAGAAGCAGGTCAAGCATTCTCCGGTTATTTTGGGAGCAGAGGAATAAGCTGCTCAGAGCCACCGCGCTGGTGAGAGATGCCAACCGCCTGAATCATGGGCTATTAGTGAGCGTTTCATAAGGCCCTCAGGTTGGCAGCCTCGAGGGGCAGGAAAACAAGCAAACGTGTACGAGAAAACCAGGTCCCTGGCCTCGTTAAGGCCGCTGAGACAGGCCCACGGGTGGAAGCGAGCACTGATGCGGGCCGGGCACCAACATACCCCGCAGACAGACCTGGGCACACACACTGTTGGCCGCCCACTAGGCACGGAGAAGAGCCCGGCAGGCAGAGGCTGTTTCCAGAAGCAGCCCGGGGGGCCCGCCTGGTCCTGGTGGACCTGGTTCTGGTTCCCCACGTGCTTCCTGGCAAAGCACACGTGGTGGGTGGGAGGGGCGGGGCGGGGCTGGGAGAAGGCACTTCCCTGCCCCCCCACCCCCAGCTCCAAAGAGGCTTAGGGGACCGCCTGGAACTCTAGATGGGGACTGGGAACCGAAGGGTAAAGGGAGGAAGGGGGGCGGAAGTCCATCTGTAGGAGCGGCATCGCCATCGGATTTGGAAAGGTCTGCCCCTGGCACGGGCGGGTGAAAGACCATAAGCAGGCAGTGCTGCCAGGCGCCCTGGTCACTGCCTCTGCGCTGGGGATGAATGCACACGTGGAAAGTTTGTCAAATCCAGAGACAGACAAAAAAAGCAGACATAAAGAACAAGATTACAAATAAAGCAGAGAGAGAAAGCACTGGGAGTGGTGAGCAGAGAAACTTCCAGAATCAGGTTGCCTGGATTTAAACCCTGCCACTGTCTAGTCGTGTGGCTCAGTTTCCCCATTCGTGAAATAGGGAGCACTGTTTGTGGTGCTAATTGACAGGGAACAGGTTTGTGGTGCTAATTAATAAAGTGACTAGGTGCTAATTAATAAAGTGACTAGAAAGTTCTCCCAACAATGGTTGTCACAGTCGTGCTCAGTAAAGGTCAGCCATCTTCATCATCACCTACATCATTTTCTACTGACCTCAAAAAAAAAGGCTGATTTTCCATTAACCAATATAATTCAAGAAGGGAAGAGATTGTGGATAACCTAAAGTCAGTTAACTGAGGGCCAATTCATTCACACAATGATGTGGGGCTAACAACCAGCTGCATCCGTTGATCCTAATTGTCTATCCCTAAAACTACAAGATTTTATTAACTTCAAGTTTTCCACCTAATAAGCAGATAAGTCTCAGTGTTAACACATTTTTATAAATTTTCCCAAAGCAGAATTCAACTTTTAAAATAACAAAATGTATTTCTCCAAGAACTTGATAATTTCCAAATGTTTTCACTTGAACAGATACATAAAAAGGTACAGGTGGTCTTAAAAATAATGGAGCAACTAGAAACATCATTAAAATGATAAAGTTACCAACATTAGGCACTATCTGTATTGTAAACCTAGATACTGGATAGTCTCAGTTTAAACCCAGCGATTCTGCCCACTGCAGATAAAGGGGGTTCTATATGCCCTCCCCCAGCACAGACATATCAACACAAAGACCCTAAAAGACTTTGCCATGAAGTCCCCAGACAGGAAATCTTTGCACAACACTTCCGTATGTGGCCAGGCAAGACTACCTTTAGTGTTTCTCACTTGAGAAATCCTTTGGCCCTGCTCTCCATTTTTCCAGGGGAAACTTAGAACTGTTACACTCTCCACTCCCAAAACATAAAAGACAAAGCCTTCTTTGTAAATTCTGATGGAGATTTCATTATCTGTACCCTGGATCAGAAATCCAAAAGGGGCCCCTGCCTACCCTCAGTTTTGTCCTTTCTGGACTGGCTTTCTCTGGGTAGTTTTGCATCTTTTGTTTCAATTTTGACTATCTTTTCCCCCAAAAAAGGTTTTCTAACAGCCTACTCCTAATGATGGGGTTCTGTCCTCTTTTGGTGCAGGGTGGGGAGGGGGGATTCTCTACTTTCGACTGTGTTTCTACAAATTCTCAATCTGTAGCTTGTAGGCCTGATCTTTATGTCAGCAGCGAGGGGCTCAGGACATGGTGGGTTCTGAATACTGTCCTA